TATGTATACACACACACACACACACACACACAAATAGATTTTGTTTTCCTATTAGTTCTGTTTCTCTGATTGAAAACTAACTGCACACCTTGCTTGGGAGGGTAGTTTGTATGAATGAATTCAACAGACTCCTTTGTTCTCTGGTTTTTCTGGCCCAGAATTAGAAGGAAGAATATTATTTTATAGAAGGAAGAATATTATTTTATAGGAAATTTACCATTATTTATTTACTTTCTTCCTCTGATACCTTCCCTATGTATTTCCACTGACTACATCCATTGACCACATTACAGTGACCCTCAAGTTGCCCTACATATAGTTTTCTCTCTTCATGGATAAAGGCCTAGAAGTGATCCTGGATCCTCTCCCTGCAATGCTACCTGCCCCAAGGTAAGGCATTATGTTTTGTTATTTCTCTACACTCTGCCCTCAGGTGAGTTATTAGTTCCTTTAGTATATTTTAAAATTTATTCTAATTTCAGTGTGCTATTTATTTCTTGCAAAATGCTTAAAAGTTTAGTTAGAATATTAGATGATAAAAATAATAGAAGTCTTTTTAGTAAACTTGATGCAATGAAAATTTTCAAGGTAACATTTAAAACCCAGTAGATATCAAGAGGGAAAAATGGAAAGCTTGATCAGAAATATTAGAAATACACATAGCCAAAATATCGACTAGTTTCTCTGGTATGAATAAACTGCAATAATACATAAGATCCTAATAAGATTACTGACATGGTGAAATGGGAAGAAAGGGGCTAAAGGTGTAGGGAAGGTGGGATGGATAGGGGAAGGGTAATAAGGGAAAAGAAAAAAAATGTGAGATAAAGAAAAGATGGAAATAAAGTGATTGTAGATGGAGAGGGGACGAGGGGGTGAAGTGAGGGCAGGGACAAGGGGAAAAAATGAGAACCAAGACCTGTCATGTAGAGGTACAAGATTCCAACAATGAATGTAACTGTACTGTATCCCTAAAATGTAGCAATAAACTCAATTAAAGCTGAAAAAAAAAAAGAAATACACATAGCCAAAGACATGAAGCAAAGGCAAGAGAACATATAATAAATTAAAAGAAAACAATAGCATATAAACCTTTAAAAACAAATAGAAAGAAATAGGAAAATGATATAAAGATTATAAAAGAATAAATTTAAATATGTTATAATTAAATGAACAATCTCCCATATTTCTCAAAACCGAAGAAATATCAAATAAAATGAAAATGATCACCTTCTTCTCCTTTTATTGAAAACTTTTAAGTTCATAATTTCCTCATAATATGAGGGTATTTATTATATACTGTTCATCAGCATATAAATTCACGAAGCCATTGTGATGGATATTTGACAATACTGTATAGTACCACTTGACCTAGCAATTAAAGAAAGAAAATACATAAAAAACTCCAATGAGCAAACACAGAAATGTGCATAATATCATTACTTATAATTTAAAAACCTATTTCCAAAAACATTTAATTGGATAAAAGTATGACACATTCATACAATGAAATACACATTAAAAATTGAGTCTCAAGGCTGGGGATTTAGCTCAGTGGTTCGGTGGCCTGCCTTGCAAGCGCAAGGACCCGAGTTCGATCCCCGGTACAAAAAAAAAAAAAAAAAAATTGAGTCTCATATTCTGGATTGCTGTATAATAATGATTCTAACTCCATATTTCAATATTTTTATATATTATCAAAAGAAACAGATGAGTAGGGAAAACAAAAATAATTATCCATTAACTATTCCTTTAACAATCAGGTATAACTAGAAATAATACAGTATCAATAATACTTGGAAGATATGACAGCAAAAAAATGACAGACAGCCTACCTGAGAAAGGTGAGATCTACCTCAACAGTGGCAATTTCTGGTTCCAGACATCACTGGAAGTAGGAATGAAGTTAGAGCTAAAAACAGAAGGATTTGGCAGAATATATCTAAGAATAAGACCACAAGATCCCCTTTCAAACACCAATCAGCCAAGTAATTTACTCTCTCAAATTAAAGCAAAAAGCTAGAGGTTGATCCTCCAAAGAAGGTAAAATAAAAGTTCTACACTGGGAATAGGGAATAGTTTCCAGGCATATTTGAAGGCAGAGGAACTGAAAACTGAAGAACTAAATGAAAGATTTTCTTAAAAACGAATGTTGAAACCACCTTTGTAAATCCCTCCTTCCTTATTATGCTGCCAGAATGACAATAGGAGGCTAATGATCTTTAAAGAATAATACTTTGTGATATTATCATAGCATACTGACTAATACAAGAATGGCATAATATTCCTGGCATGAAGCTTAAACTAAAGGAACTTTATTTACACTTTAATATGTGCAAATAGGCAAAGGTCATTGTTATTTGCTTTTAAATATGAACAAATTCCAAGGACAATCAGATACACAAGAAAACCTCCAAAGCCAATGACAGAGACCAAAAGATCTGTATTAAAGATCAAGAAAGCTACTGTGATTAAAAAAAAAAAAAAAAAACAAATGAACAAACAGAAAAGAATAGTACTGGCAAAGAAAAGATCCAAGGATCAATGGAACACTTTCAATGATCTAGAAACAACTCCAGACATACTCAGCCATCTCATCTTTGACAAAGGAGCCAAACAACCCCACTGGAGAAAAGATAGCATCTTTAATAAATGGTGTTGGAAAAACTAGATTTCAACTTGCTAAAGATTAAAACTAGACCTATATCTCTCACCATGCACTAAACTATAATCAAAATCTAAATGGAATATTACTCAGCCATAAAGAATGAGAAAATAGATTCATTCATAGGAAAATGGATACATATTGATGATATACTCCTAAGTGAAATAAATAAGTCACACATGTGTAAATAGCAAATAGTTTCCCTGGTGTGAATAATCTTCAATAATACATAAGACCTAATAAGATTACTGACATTTAGAAATGGAAAGAAAGGAGCTAAAGGTGTAGGGAAGGTGGGATGGGTAGGGGAAGGGTAATAAGGGAAGAGAAAAATATGTGAGATAATGAAAAAATGAAAATAAAGTGTTTGTAGATGGGGAGGGGAGGAGGGGGTGAAGGGAGGGCCGGGGTAAGGGGAAAAAATGAGAATCAAGACTTGTCATGTAGAGGTACAAGATCCCAACAGTGAATGTAACTGTACTGTATCCCTAAAATGTACCAATAAACTCAATTAAAGCTAAAAAAAATAAATATTAAAACAGAAACACTAAACTGGCTGGAAGAGAGGCTAGGTAGAAGTCTTGCAGACATTGGTGTAGGAAAACATTTCATGAGCAAAATCTTAGTTGCCTATGAATTAGCACAAAGCATCAACAAAGGGGATCTCATCTTATTAAAAAGTTTCTGCACAGCAAGAGAAACCACCAACAGAGCTAAGAGACAACCTACAATGTGGAAAAAACGTTTTACCAGCTGTTCCTCAGACAAAAGACTACTGTCTAGAATATATAAAGGACTTTAAAAAATAAGACCTCCCAAATTTAAAGACCCAATCCAAAAATGGGCATCATAAATAAACAGATATTTCTCAGACAAAGAAGCTGAAATAGCAA